AGGCGTAGAGTTACGTAAACAAACCAAGTGAAGGTAAGTTTTGTAAACAGACGAAGTGTAGACGTCTGGTTTGTGTACAAATTACACTGTGTACAAGTTGTCTCTACATTGATACGGTAGAATAAATAAAGAAGAACACTCCCATTCTCATGTAACACCATTTTTAGAAGAAATGACGCTCTGAGTGAAGGCAATGGAAATAAGTCACTATTTTTTGGGGTTATCCTAGGTTCTCTACACATATGCTGTTATGTATGATAATCTATGTAACTGTATTTATGTATACCTTAATAAACTTACTTACATACATACAAAAGGAATAATTTTCTACAGTTACCCCCAGTAACACATTTCTCTTATGTTAGATTAGAGAAAATGTTATTCTTGGCATCACTTGTACAAGTTATCTGGCTACCACATCTCATATTTATGTTTATTTATTCTATTGTGGGGTGTATTTGTCATCTTTATACGTTATGTATCGTGTTTATTATATAATTTTGAAAAAAATATCATGGATTAATGAAAATGTGTATATTAACGTAATATACAACATTTAAGAGACTCTGTGATTATTATTATTATTATATTATTATTATTTTTAATATGGCGTCACTTGTGCAAGTCGTCTGCTACCACATCTCATATTTATATGTTATGCATTGTGTTTATTATATAATTTTGAAAAAATATCATAGATGGATTAATGAAAACGTGTATATTAACGTAATATACTACATTTAAACGAGACTCGGTGATTATTATTATCATTACTAATATGACGTCTCAAGACATAAGACACACTTACTGATTTTAATGTGAACCTGCATGCCAGCACAGTATGTAAGTTTATTTAGGTACAGGTATACATAAGTATAATTATCAGAGTATATATAAAATATGAAATAACTTTTAAAAACACTTAAAATTTGGAGTTTCCAGACATAATGGAGAACTTGGCTTGGATCTCAGAGAATGTAAAAAAAGGGGGTGGGTGCGTGACCGTATTAGAAAGTCAGGGGGGGGAGCCGTATAGTAGTTTTGGTATTAATTAAAAGACCTTTTTTAGCGGAAGCCGAAAGAAAAAACCCCGTAAGGGGGGCCCTACAGACTTATTCTTTTTAAAAACATTTTGCTTTGAAAAAACCTCTCAAAGCACTTTTCTCTTTTATCCACCCTTTACTTTTCTTCCACCAAATTACTCCCTTTCCTCCTGACCCACCCCCTATAACCACAAATTCTCCCCCACATTTAATACTGCTTTTTTTAAAACTTTTCCCAACCCTTTAAACCCCCCCCTACTCAACTTGCACCAGCCCACTTTTCTCCCAAAGTTTTTTACTCCCCGAATTCCCCCTTCCCTTAGTTTATACACTATCACTCCCTTTTGCTTGTTGTTGCCTTTTCCCTTTTTTTCCCCATCACCTTTCCTAACTTAGCTACAACTAAATAAGATCGATATCCCAGTTGCCCCCTATACTGAACAGCCAAAAATTTATTTTTGGGATCAGAAAAAAATTTTGACTTTGTCCCATCCCGTCGGCACACTTCTGGAAAGACAGTGATCGAACAATGTAAAATGGTTTTTTTTTCTTTTGGGCGCCCCCTGTTTTTGGCAGATAGTTGTCAAGGTTAAAAAAATTTTTTTTCTTAGATAGTGAAAAAAAAAATGTTTTACATAATGGAAGTTCCAAAAAAGTGCTTAAAAACACAGTTGGAATAAATACCCTCCTTATCCCATTTTTTCTATCTGCAAAATTTATGGAAAATCCTTTGTATTTTAATTAAATTTTATTTTAAAACAAATGAAATGTTTAAAGGGGTTGTGAAAATACACATGGAAGTTGGTATCAGAAATCTGTCCAAACACACTTCTCTAGATTATTAAGAAAATTTTTAATTTTTAAGGTTTTTTATAACAGGAAATGTAGTACACAGAAATACATCAGCACTAATGCTTTTTGTTTTTTTTTTTAAGTGCTGATGTTTTTTTCTGTGTGACTGATTTTTTTTTTCCCTATATCTACAGTCCTGAGTGTTATGTTTTTTGTTTTGGATTTTTTTGTTGAAATTTTTGTTTTTTTTTTTGGTGGTGAAAAGGGTTTTGGGTGTTTAAAAATTTGACAAGGTGGTGGGGAAAACCAAACCCTTCCCACTTTGGGTTTTGGGTTAAAAATAGCAGTTTTGGGACATTTTCTAGGGGGGTTTTTGGGTGTTTCATTGGTTGTTTTTGGGGGCCAATGACAGACCGAAGATATGGTAAAAAGGAAATCTTGGACATTTTTGCCCAAAAAAACCTAAAAAAGGGCCCTAAATTTGGTGGAAATATTTTATCTTGGGTTTTTCCCCTAGGGAAGGGTGGGGGGCCCCTAACCCCTCCCCATGCCTGTTTTATGGGTTTAACTAGATCTTTTTCAAATTTTTTTTGTGTTTAGGATTTATGGAAGATTGGGGGAAGGGGCCCCCCCCCCCGGGGGGGGACCACCCGGTGGGGGTATAAAGGGGCTCTCACCAAAACCCAAAAACGAGAAGCGGTATCCAAAAATGATTTTCTTTTTAGTAGCTGGCTAGGGGCTTTGGTAAACCCCCAAATTTGGGGGGCATTTAAATTTTCCCCCCCAAATTTTTTAAAAAAACCAAAAGTGTTGCACCCCCTTTTCATTGGGGATGTCCCTCGCCAATTTTTGTTTTTATTTTTTCTTTGAAATTGTAATTTCCCCAGGGTTTTCGGGGAATATCAGTATTTTCCCCCCGGGAAAGGTTTTAAAAGGTCCCCTAATTAGGGTTTTATCCCTTTTCCCCCAAATTTTTCTTTTTTTATTTTTGGAAATTTTAGGGAGAATTTCCACCTGAAAAAAGTGATTTAAGGGCTCATGGGGCCCCCCGTTTTGAGGTTTCATTTCCACCGTTTTTTCTGGGAATGCTTGGCAAATTTTGGCCTGGGTTTTTTCCCCACAATCATATTTTGCTTTTTTTGTCATTTTTGGCCGAAAAGGTTTTTACCCATAATTTTAAATTTCCCCTTTTTAAATTTGGAATTAAATTTTTAGTTTAATTCAAAAGTTTTTTTTACCCCCGAAATTTGGTTTTTCCTGGGCCTTGCAGTTTCGCTTTCATTTTTTTAAATGGAAAAATTTTTTTTAAAATGGGGAAAAAATTTTCTAAAAAGAGGGAAAAATTTTTTTAAATTAAAAAAGAAAGTATAAAATTAATAACAAAACAGAGGGAAATTGGGGGTTTCAGAAATTAAATTGCCAAAAAATTTTTTAAATTGAAAAAATTTTGAAATCCCCTTTTTGGGGGGGAAAACCTTTAAAAAATTTTGATTTAAAAAAAAAAATTTTTTTTTTAATTTTTAAAAATGCAGACACAGATAGTAGATTTTAGTCAACCCTTAAACTGTCCAAACTTAGATCTATGTTCACTTGCGTAGCACTCCAAACGTAGATCTATTTTTTTTTTTTTTTTACATTTGAAACCATGTAAAATAAAACGTAGATCTACGTTGAGAGCGCTACTCAAGTGAACGTAGATCTACGTTTGGACAATTTAAGGGTTAAGGGAAGGTGTCAACCATTTAACCCTTTCAGGGTTGAGAGGTCCTCTCTTAAACTTGTTCTCAGGGTCAAAATTTTTTGGAAAAAAAAAAAAAATTCTTATGAAAAGATAAGAGAATCTTTTCCCAATCATTAATGACACCAAAAGCATGAAATTTGATGGAAAAACTCATGGAATTATGTCTTGAGAAGTTGCAGTCTCGACGATGTTTATGCATCGGCGATTTCGCCACTTTGAGCCCTATTTTCAGCCAATTCCAGTGTACTAGTCGACAAAACTCATAATTATTTTGCTAGAACTCCATTTTTTCTATCGAATGAGTACAAGAAACCACCCATTTACCGATTTCAACTATCCAATAAAGTGCTCAGAAATTGGCAATTTTGCCAATTTCACACAAATTTCAAAGATGCCAATTTCCAAACAGGTTCCAGAATAAACAAGGCAGACATTCCTGGCACTAAAATAACATTTTCTCTGTTCATTAGTCACGTCCCCAGGCCCCTCTTACATTTCTTTTGCTTTCCACTTTGAATTTTTATTCTCACAAAAATAGAAAAATTTACTGTTATGCAGACTACTGCATTAGTGTAGAAATGGTATAAATAATATCAGCGCACTTGTGAAAGAATATTAGACTCACCAGTTGACGTGTATTGGACGCATGGCATGATTTGTTTACTTTTGAACTTTGGCAAAAATCGAACATTTCTGCTACTCTGAACTCATTTCAAAGTACTTTTCATTGTATGAAATCAATCAAAATCATCTCAATTTCTGTAATATGTCTTCCATTCTATAAAATGAGACCAGGAAAACTAGAATACAACCATGAATACCACACGAAAATACACTGCAAAGTCGCTGTTTTAAACCAAAAACAGGGACAGAGTTTTTTTTTTTCTCATTATGCACTGTGTGCTGCAGGATTTTTTTTATACTGTGCACACTGACCACATAGACCCATTCTTTCATATGTAGGCCTACCAGCTTTCTCTCAGTAGATTTGAAGGCGCTAGAATTTACGCGTACTAGTACGTCAATAACCTTGGCACATAAGACGTATTAGTACATCGGAAACTCTGAAAGGGTTAAGGGTTAATGACTGATGTGAAAACAGTGTTTTTGTGACTGGCTCAATGTATGTACAGTATCTAACTGTGAAGATATTAATGTTGTGTTTTATATGACTAAAATAATCATTCGGTGTAGTATTATCAACTTTTTACTGAATAAACCAATTAAAAATTGCATTAATGAGTTTATAGGAATGAATTTGGCATGATTAGTGATTGAGGGTAGAAAACAAGGAGAGGGGTTTGAAACCTAATCCTTTAGAATTTCTTGCAAGTAGATATGTTAATTATATGTTAAGAATCATTTTGGCTAATTAAGCCTAGACTCTAGGTATAAAACATGATAGTGTACTATATTAAACCCACCTGATGAAGAATATCCTTGTGTATATTACGCATAAGAGCCTTGGAATACACTAGGGAGTTAAGCGGTAGTTTGGCCATATCATAAATTTTGGGCCACACATCCTCAGGAAAGTTTGCATCTGGGATCACTTCTGTCACCAAGCCAAGCTTCAGTGCTTCTCTTGCTGTAACCTGCCATATACAGGATACAATATACTATGTTATTATTGAAAACTAGCCCTCGTATTAAGTAGTCTGTAAACCATTAAATTTAGACTGCCCATAATGTCAAGGCATGATAGTCGATCTCTCTGCACTGCAAATCATTATTGTAATTACACACTGTAAACTATCTATGTAAACACGACTCCCTACAACATGTCAATCTCATTATAAACTTGCAAAGAAATAAAAATTGAATGTTTCATTCCATCCTAGAGAGATTTATTTTTTAACTTGATGGTAGTCTCCTGCCAAGGCAGGGTGACCCACAGAAAACACATTCACTCAACTGCCATCTTTCCAGAAATGCACTGATCTCAGCTCAGATAACCCTCTGAGTGAAACACCAATATGAAAAATAGCTCAGAATGGGTTTAATAACAAAAGAACAGACAAAATGATACATGTCAATATTCGCTAATCTAATATGAAAGTTTTAACAATTGTACAGTGGACCCCTTGGTTATTGGCCGTAATCCGTTCCAGAAGATCCGCCTAAAAGTGAAATGGCCAAAAACTGAAATAGTATTTCCCGTAAGAATTAATGTAAATACAATTAATGTGTGGTGTAAATATTATGCAGAAAATTCAGAGTGTGGAAATTAGGAGAAGGTGTGGAGTTAATAAAAGCATTAGTCAGAGGGCTGAAGAGGGGTTGTTGAGGTGGTTTGGTCATTTAGAGAGAATGGATCAAAGTAGAATGACATGGTTGAGGTGGTTTGGTCATTTAGAGAGAATGGATCAAAGTAGAATGACATGGAGAGCGTATAAATCTGTAGGGGAAGGAAGGTGGGTAGGGGTCGTCTCGAAAAGGTTGGAGGGAGGGGGTAAAGGTTTTGTGGGCGAGGGGCTTGGATTTCCAGCAAGCTTGCGTGAGCGTGTTAGATAGGAGTGAATGGAGACGAATGGTATTTGGGACCTGACGATCTGTTGGAGTGTGAGCAGGGTAATATTTAGTGAAGGGATTCAGGGAAACGGTTATTTCTATATAGCCAGACTTGAGTCCTGGAAATGGGAAGTACACTGCCTGCACTCTAAAGGAGGGGTTCGGGATATTAGCAGTTTGGAGGGATATGTTGTGTATCTTTATAGGTACGTATATGCTTCTAAACTGTTGTGTTCTGAGCACCTCTGCAAAAACAGTGATTATGTGTGTGTGAGGTGAAAGTGTTGAATGATGATGAAAGCATTTTCTTTTTGGGGATTTTCTTTCTTTTTTGGGTCACCCTGCCTCAGTGGGAGACAGCCAACATGTTAAAAAAAAAAATTAATCCGTTCCAGACACCCAAAAATATTAACAAAAAATACATTTTTTGAAGATTAATTATAGTTTTACATACACAAAACAATGAGAACTAAATAATATAAATACATGAACAATTAAATCACTATTACATACCTTTATTGAAGACTCTTTTTGGCTTATGGAAGATAGGGAGGAGAGAGGGAGTTGGGGTTATTGTTTGGAAGGGGAATCCACTCCATAAGAACTTCAGGTAACAAGTCCCTCTCTGGGGTTACTTCCCTTCTTTGTCTTTTAATCCCACTAGGACCAGCCTGAGAGTCACAGGACCCCAGTCACACAAAATAACTGTCCAGATTGCTCTGTTTCTGGCATCTCTGTAAGATTTCCCTGAAGTGGGACAAGGTTTTGTCACTAAACTTGTTGCAGATATGGCTTGTTTCAGCTTGAGGTGAGGCAGTGGCTGGTGAGTGAGGCAGTGGCTGGTGTGGAGACTGATGGTAGTGATGGTGTGGTGTGTACAGTGGATGGTGTGTTGAGGCAGTGGCTGGTGTGTTGAGGCAGTGGCTGGTGTGGTTGAGGCAGTGGCTGGTGTGGTGAGGCAGTGACTGGTGTGTTGAGGCAGTGGCTGGTGTGTTGAGGCAGTGGCTGGTGTGTTGAGGAAGTGGCTGGTGTGCTGAAGCAATGGCTGGTGTGTTGAGGCAGTGGCTGGTGTGCTGAGGCAGTGGCTGGTGTGTTGAAGCAGTGGCTGGCATGTTGAGTTGGTGGCAGGATGGAAGTGATTGTTGATTTGTTTTTCCCATACATCCTGGCAAGTTAATTAAACCAAATGAACCACACATCCAGCCTGCAGACACTGCTGCCAAACTTTATGTCTTCTCTACTAGCAAGCAAAATCTCAACCTCAAATATTCAGGTAAAAGACTACCTTACTGGAAAGTACCCAAATACTCTTTATCTAGCTCTACTAATGCTACCAAAGGCTCACTCATCATAAAGTCACTTAAAAACAAGACAGGAGACCTAAATAACTTGCCACTACTCAAATATAAAAAAGCAGTACATGTGCTGTTGCCCATTACTGCAACTCCATTTAACCTTCAAACAGTCCAAATGTATATATACTTTCACCTGTGCAGTACCCCGAATATTTTGAGGAAAAAAATTGTTTTTCATTTTATAGAAAAAAGAGCATGTGGTACCCAGGCGTCCCCAATTTTTTGTATACGGCACACACTGAGTGCACACAACTACTGGATCACTATGACATGGCCTTGGATGCACTGGAAGAAAATCAGAATGCAGATGTAATATACACAGACTTTGCAAAAGCATTTGACAAATGCGATCATGGCGTAATAGCCCACAAAATACGTGCTAAAGGAATAACTGGGAAAGTGGGGAGATGGATCTTCAACTTCCTAACAAATCGAACACAAAGAGTAGTGGTCAACAGAGTTAAATCGGAGGCTGCCATAGTGAAGAGCTCTGTTCCACAAGGCACAGTACTCGCCCCCATCTTATTCCTTATCCTCATATCAGACATAAACAGAGATATACACCACAGCACCGTATCATCCTTTGCGGATGATACTAGGATCTGCATGAGGCTGTCTTTTTCACTCTCAGATCAGGGGTCTGGACCCTGAAAGGGTTAAAACTCCATTCTCATGTTTCAGCTTCATATCATTCCAGACCATGGAGCTAAACTCATTTCCAGGCTAAGAGACTGACCACCTCAAGCTATTTCTGCAAGGCTGACTACATCATCACTACTCCTGCTGCCTACCATCCATTCTCCTCTGTATTTGACTGAAGAAGCCTACTATGTAGGTGAAACATTTCAACAATAAAGATACCTAACTGCTGCACATGTGTATAACTCATCAACTTATTAGTATTATATACCATTTTTATACACAAATAACCCGCACATAAAAGAGAGAAGCTTACGACGACGTTTCGGTCCGACTTGGACATTGACAAAGTCACACACGTGTGACTTTGTCAATGGTCCAAGTCGGACGAAACGTCGTCGTAAGCTTCTCTTTTTATGTGCGGGTTATTTGTGTATCGTTCCAGTCACGGTATTGTGCCTTTTTGTTATTTATACCATTTTTATCATTACTCTGTTAAACTGATGGTTACTGTATAATGGATTGAGAGGTCATGCTCTCATTTTGGGTTATCCTAGGTACTTTACACACATGATGCTATGTATGATAATTCTATGTAACTGTATTTGTGTATACCTGAATAAACTTACTTAACCTCCACATTTTTAGCCCTAGCCATGGTTCCAATGAATAAAAGAAATTCTTCTCATTGTGTAAAGCACATACACCCTACACTGTCCATAAAAGATAGGTGGTTTTGAAGCCACTGCAGGTTGCCATGAGCTCAGCCCACTCAGGTAAGCTGGAACTAAAACACCTCAGAGGATGCAATGGGAGTCACAGTGGGAGGTGGAAAGGGAGAGGATCAGTTTTTGTCTATGGGCTAGACGAAGCTGAAGGGGAAACTTATGATGAAAGAAAAGCAGGAGGAGAAAAAAGCGATTGAAGGTATCATGAAGGTGATAGGCGAGGGAGACATGACCCAGGTGGCAAATTTTCGGAGAATCGGGTGGCTCACAAAAAGAAGAAATTGGCCTCAAAATAATTTTCAAGGCAGAATCAACTCAAACCATGATCCTGCAGGAGAAAGCATGGCTGAGAGGCAAACGGGAGTTCATGAGTGTGTACCTCGATCGAGACAGAACACAGGAGGAAAGGATGATACTGAAAGAGAGAGTGCAAAAACGAAAGGAGGAATGGGAGGAAATGACAAAGAAGAGCAGAATAACCCAGGAACAGGTGGAAGGACAAGCACACCCCCCAGAAACACCTGCAGAAGGACTCCAGCCACAACACCCCCAAGGCAACTGAACAATCCAAACCAACCATCACACACCGATCCCTCTGTTCCCACCCCCTGCACCACGAACAGTACCCCTACAGAAACCCCCTATGGGAGCTCTTTCTCCACCTCCACTGCAACCCCCAACAGGCCCCCACCAGGGCTCCTGCTCTCCCAACCCCAGTATTCCCCCAGGACCACAGTTACAGTATTAGAACAGAAGTTGAAGGTTTGGTACACAAATGCGGAATAGATTAATGAATAAATATGAGGAATGGCAAGAAAGAATCAATGAGAAGTCCCCAGACATCATAGCAGTTACAGAAACAAAACTCATGGAGACAATAACAGATGCAATCTTCCCACCAGGATACCAGATCATGAGGAAAGATAGAAGGGGCAGAGGGGGAGGAGGGGTTGCTCTGCTCGTAAAAAACCGATGGAAATTCGAGAAAATGGGAGGCATAGACGAGACAGGAGAAAGGGACTACACAGTAGGTACACTTCAGTCTGGGGAGCACAAGGTGGTCATTGCAGTGATGATAATCCACCACAGAACTGCAGGAGGCCAAGATAGGAATATGAAGAGAGCAACAGAGCAATGGTGGACACTTGCTGAGGTGGCAAGAAGAGCTCACTCCAGCAGAGCAAAGTTGCTGGTTAAGGGGGATTTCAACCACAGGGAGTTTGACTGGGAAAACCTGGAGCCACATGAGGGTCCAAAACATGGAGAGCCAAGATGTTGGATGTGGTGCTGGAAAACCTCATGCACCAACATGTTAAGGACACTACCAGAGTGAGGGGAGGATGAACCAGCAAGATTGGACCT